ATTCAGAACTCGGTGCAGGTGTTTAGCCCAGCGGTCAAGATGGAACTTGGGACACTGGCACTCCATTGTGAAGTGCCTGGGTTCAAGTCGCAGCTCTACTTCTGACCCAGCTTCCTGTTAATGTGCACCCTGGAAACCAGCAGGCGATGACTCAAGTTCTTGAGTCCCTGTCTCCCACATGGGAGACCCAGACTGAGTTCCAACTTTCTGGCTCGACACAGCCCAGTGGTTGTACGCATTTAGGGAGTAAACTAGTGGGTAGAAGCTCTCTTCCATCTGTCTCTCTGTCTTTCAAATAAAAATAAAGGTGTTTTGTTTTGTTTTAGAATTCAGAACTTATTCAAGGTCATGTAAGTAGTCTGAAAGTGATGGAGCTGAATGACAAATTCAAGTCTGCTGGTTCCAAAGCATGTACTTTTTCCTACCACTAAGAAACCTTTGGAGGTGATTCCTAGGAATCATAAAATGACCATAGAAATGGCAAATTTGAAAGTCAGAGTATGGAAGATCAGGAATTATTGGAGCTGGCACTGTAGCACCCAGTGGGTTAAATGGCCACCTGCAACACCAGCATCCCATACTAGAATGCTGTTCGGAAGTCTGGATACTCTGCTTCAATTTCATTTCCCTGCTAATGCACCTGGGGAATCAGCAGGAGATAGCTCAAGTACTTGGGCCCCTGCCACCTTGTGGGAGACTGGATGGAGTATGGGCTCCTGGCTTGATCCACCCTGGCATTTGTGGCCATTTGGGGAATGAACCAGAGGATGAAAGGTTTCTCTCTCTCTCTCTTTTACTCTTTCTGTCTGTCCTTAGATCATTCTGTCACTCTGCCTTGAAAATAAATAAATCCTAAAAAAAAAAAAAAAAAAGAATTACATTAGATTCTAGAAAGAATAGACAACAGGATAGAGGAAGCATGAAGTTTTCCACAAGCAGAGATGGGCTCAATGTCAGAAAGCAAAAACTCCAGGCCATATGTATTCCATAATGTCCTGCAGAAATTTAAGAACTACTGAATACTCATAAACCATATAAGTATATTATGTCGAAGAAGAAACAGGGAAACAGGTAGTCTCTTGTCTGTGGCTGGTAGGAATGAGACTATACAATGTCTCTGGGAGAAAAACCGGCATCATGTTGGCAAGACTAAAGATAAAAATATTCCTTGACCCAGCTATTCCACTTCTAGGAATTTACTCACACATTTGCACACAGAAGGAAACACAAGGATATTCGCTGTATGGAACAACAAAGGACTACAAATAACTAAGTGCCTACCAGTAGCAGCTCAATTCCACATCTATTAAATAAAGTGCTGTGTTGCCATTAAAAACACTAAGGAAGTTCTTCCAGATGCTTCCATGTGAACAATCTTGGAGTTCTATACTTAAGTGAAAAAAACAAGGTCTAAACAGTGAGGACAGCATGCTACCATCTGTGAACACACATGCATGTGCACAGGAATGTGTGGCATATCCATACAGTCTTGTATATATATAGCTTTCTTTAAGAACTCTCAAGCAGCTGCTAACAGTGGTTGCTTTAGAGAACGAAAACCAGGGACTGCAGAAGGGGACAGAAAGGAGACCTATTTTTTCACTGTACACCCTTCAATGCTGCTTGAAATGTTTGCCTTTTGCATGAATTGCCCATTCAAAAACCTATCACAAGAATGAGCAACAAACAAAAATTAGAACTGTGTGACCTCACAGACTCACACACAGCCTGAAATAGCATCCACCTACATACTTGCCAGTGTCTGTTGGCTGTCACTTTTTCCCTATAAAGCTCCCTGAGGCTCAGGGGTTTCCCTGGGATGGCCTTCTTCTCCTTTTAATGGTAAGTATTTTATTTTAATTTAAAGCATAATTGTTAACCAATTCTTCAAATCTCACTTCTCCCCAGGGCCAACCAGAGCCACCCCCTTTTACACACTATTGCCTCTTAACTTAGTGTCTGTCCTCCATTCGAGGAATCTGCCTAGAATAGTGAGTTTTTGTTTACATTTTTTCAGCTATAGTATCATTATGCAAGAGTTCTATATGGCATTCTTTTGAGAGAAGAAAATACTCGAGCTCATCAGCTTCCCAGGAGAACTGCCTCCTCCAGTTATGTTATTCTGAATTTCTAGGGTTTGTAATGTAAAATGAGACTAGCTATTAACTTGGGATTCCCAAAAACTGCCGAAATGTTTGAGTCTCGGAAAAAGCATCACTGAGGAAACAGTGCCCCCTGGTGTCGATTAGAAAAAGCTAAAGGAGTTTTGAATGAACTAGGTATATTCTTGACCGAAAGCTGGATGGAAAATTACACAAGAAATTAAATTAAAATCAACAAATGTGGGGCTGGCACTGTGGCTTAATGGGTTAAGCCATGGCCTGCAGCACTGGCATCCCATATGGGGGCCAGTTCAAGTCCCAGCTGCTCCACTTCTGATCCAGCTCCCAGCTGATGTGCCTGGGAAAGTAGTGGAGGATGGCCCGAATGCTTGGGCCCCTGTACCCATGTGGGAAACCTGAAAGAAGTTCCTGGCTCCTAGCTTCAGCCTGGCACAGCCCAGGCTATTGTGGCCATTTGAGGAGTGAGCCAGCAGATGGAAGATCTTTATATCTCTCTCTCTGTCTCTCCTCTCTCTGTAATTCTACCCTTCAAATAAATAAATATTTAAATAAATCTTTGAAAAGCAGAGTTACAGAGAAAGAGAGATCCTCCATCTACTGATTCACTCCCCAAATGGCCACAATAGCCAAAGCTGGGCTGATCCAAAGCCAGGAGCCAGGAGCTTCTTCCAGGTCTCCCACATGGGTGCAGGGGCCCAAGCATTTGGGCCATCATCTGCTGCTTTTCCAGGCACATTAGCAGGGAGCTGGATTGGAAGTGGAGCAGTCAGGACTTGAACCAGTGCCCATATGGGATGCCAGCACTGCAGGCAGCTGCTTTACCCGCTACACCACAGCACTGGCCCCAATAAATAAGCCTTTTTAAAAAAATCAACAAATGTGAATGCCTACTATATGCTAAGCACTATTTATAGACCTTAGAAATTCAGAAATGAAGGAGAAATAGTTCTTCTAGCACACAAAGCTAGCTTTACTGGGTTCTGGATTTAAAATAAGTATCAGCAAGCAGTTTTTCAAAAAGTCCTTGCAGCCATCCAGTCATCTGTGGATGCCAGAGCATCACAACACCTATGGGAAGCTAAAGAAGGATGATAGAAAATGATGCTCACTTACCTTCAGATCCTCTGCTGGCTCTCACCTTCAAGTCTCCCCAAAAAGACTCTGTCCTCTAAGAGCTATTGACTGAAACAAGCCATTTGTTACTCTTGCAAACTAGTCCTCAATGTCCACCTTTAATTTGTCTGCTTTTTAATCTATTTATTTATTTGAAAGGCACTGACAGAGAGGGGGACATACACACACAGAGTGAGAGAAACAGAGAGATCTTCCATCCCCTTGTTCATTCCTAACCAAGGCTGGGCTAGACTGAAGCCAGGAGCCTGGAACTGCAACCAGGTGTCCCAGGTGGGTGGCAGGGACCCAAGTGCTTGGGACATCTGCTGCTTTTCTGCACAGGGAGCGGGATTGAAAGCAGAACACTGAATCTCAAACTAGTGCTCCAACATGGGATGCTGGTGTCACAGCAGCAGCTTAACTGTACCACAATGCCAGCCCAATGTCCACCTCTAATTTTTAATAGAAGCTCTTAGGGCAAATAAAGGCTACAAGTGAACAGAGAACAATATATTCCTCGTCTCTGAAAATGGGCTTTCAGATCAGACTAATCTGGGTTCAAATTTCAGCTCATTCATTCATTTTTAAGCTGACAGACTGGACAAGTTGCCTTCTATCTCAGTTCCCTAATCTGAAGAATGGGAATACTACACTTATCTCACAGGAAAATCATGAGGATTAAAAGAAAAGATAACATTTAGACAGCTACCTAGCTCTGCCTTGTTCTCAGAGCGATCTTGATAAATCACAAATTGGATCATGTTAAACCCTGCTTAAAGTTTTTCAGTGAATTCCTGTTGCCTTTGGGATACAAGCTAAACTCACTCGAATGTTTTATTTATTTTCCCCAGAAACCTTTTATTTAAAGACTATAAACTTCACTAGAATCCTTTAAACTCTGGCCACTGCCTACTCAGTTTCTTAGGTCTTTGTGTCCACACTGCAGGCATGAAGTTCCTGACTCACCCCGTGTCTCCATGCCTCTTGCTTACAATGATATTTCTCTTTCTTTCCTCCCAACTAGTTCCTGCTCATCTTTAAACTCGGCTCAGAACCTCTCTCTTCAAAGATTCTTTTTCCTCTGATTCTCAAGCCATCATAGACCTTCATCAATCAGATATGATAAATTTCTGTCTGCCCATGTCCCCTCACTAGGTTATAAACTCTAGGAAAAGACTATATTGTTTCAAGTCTGGATATCCAATAATTAGCACATAGTAGGTGCTTCATGAAAGTTGAAAGAATTTATAAAGCTACCCAATAAAGCATGTAGATACAAAATCTGCTCCCTTTGCAAGGAAAGGATTCTTTTCACCTACAGGCTAGTCAAGAAAGGTCTTCTTTCATTGTTGTTGCTGTTGTTATTTATTGATGCAGATGCTGATAAACAGGGGAGGGAGAGGGAGCTTCCATCCACTGGGTCACTCATCAAATGCCCTTAATGCTCCCTGGCTGGGACCAAAGCCAGGAGTAGGGAACTCAAGCCAGGTCTCCCATGCAGGTGCAGGAATACAACTACTCGAGCCATCACCACTGCATCCCAGGGTCTGCATTAGTGGGAAGCTGGAGTCAAGGGTGGCGCATGGGATCAAACCCAGGCACTCAGACGTGGGACACAGGCATCTTAACCTACTGGCCAACATCCATCCCAAGAATGTTTTCTGAGTGGAGAAGTTCAAGAGGAGTTTGCACAACAAGCAAAAACACCCAAAGCTTCAACTCAGTCAGCTGGCCCTCCCTGTCCCACACCTGAATCGTACTTACCAGGAAAGGACTAGCTGGGGTGCAGTGGAAATGCCAACAGAAGGGGAGACCAGAGAGCTCACTCCGCACCCGCAGAATCAGTGCCTCTGCCGCACGATCGCTGGAGAAGGTCGCTTCGCTAGGGTGAGCCGCGTCCTTCAACAACGGGTGAAGCAGATTTTCCAAATGACAGAGAAGAGCCGCAGGTGGGGCAGTCAGGCGCTTGTTCAACTCCTAGAGAGACAGAAGCCACACAGAGTGAAGGCGTTAAAAGGAAACTGACTCCCTCACAAGCAAAGGTGATGGAAAACTCTGGGTAACATGAAGACAATGCGTAGGAGAGGAAGAGGAGAGAGGACAAAAACTTCAGCATAGGAACATCATGCATACAGAACAGAAACTCTCCCCCACACCCCCCCCCCAAACACACACACAGATCCCAGGCTTCTAGCAGAAGTATAAAACATTAGTTGAAATTGTCTCGGGGATGGCACTGTGGCATAGTAAGTAAAGCTGCTGCCTGCAGTGCCCGAATCCCATGTGGGCGCCAGTTCTAGTCCCGGCTGCTCCTCTTCCGATCCAGCTCTCTGCTATGGTCTGGGAAAGCAGTAGAAGATGGCCCAAGTCCTTGGGCCCCTGGACCCATTGGGGAGACCAAGAAGAAGCTCCTGGCTTCAGATCGGCGCAGCTCCAGCCTTTACAGTCATCTGGGGAGTGAACCAGCAGGTGAAAGGCCTATTTCTGTCTGTCTCTCTCTCTCTCGCTGGCTTTCTTTAACTCTGCCTTTCAAATAAATAAATAAATCAAGAAAGAAAGAAGAGAGAGAGAAAGAAAAGAGAGAGAGAAAGAAAGAAAGAGAGAGGAAGAGAGAGGAAGGAAGGAAGGAAGGAAGGAAGGAAGGAAGGAAGGAAGGAAGGAAGGAATTGTCTCAATTAACTCAACCTTCCCTGGCAACCTACAGTAGGTAAGTTGGTTGATGTGAATGTCTCCTTCTCTTCACACTTACCTTGGCTCGCTGGATGACCACATTAGTGTCCACCTGTTCATGCCACACCTGTTGAAGATCTGAAACCAGCAAGGCATAGCCCTGCTTAGTGATATAGGCCTTGGCCATGAGGGAGTTCTCAGCAAGCTGTAGCCATGCCCATGGCTGCATCAACAGGCCTTGCTCCAATTCCTCCATCTGCAAGAAAGCCCAAATTTAGCAAAAGGCTTCTAGGGTAAGGTGAGGTCTAGGGAGGGCAGCACTCAAACAACTCTAAATTGACTTAGCAGCTGTGACAATCCTCCCAGCTAAAACAGAAGGCAAGGGGCCAGGGCAGGAGTGCAGTGGGTAAGCTGCAGCCTGCAGTGCCGCATCCCATGTGGGCACCAGTTTGAGTCCTAGCTGCTCCACTTCCAATCCAGCTCCCTGCTAATGCACCGGGGAAAGCAGCAGGAGATGGCCTGAGTCCTTGGGCCCTTGCACCCAGAAGCAGCTCCTGGCTCCTGGCTTCAGATTGGTGCAGCTCCAGCCATTGCAGCCATTTGGGGAGTGAACCAGCAGATGGAAGATCTCTCTGTCTCTCCTTCTCTCTCTCTGTAAATCTACCTTTCAAATAGATAAATAAATTTCTTTATATAAAAAAAAGTAAGGCTTTACATTCTTCCCTGTATATAACCAGCAAAACACCAACCTTACTACCTCTTGGCCAATAAAAATCTATTTAAAATCTTGTGAAGTTTTTATTCATATTAAATTCCTAGAAGATAAAAATATCTTTCTTTCTTGGTATTTAAGCTTCAGCATATTGATATTAGCATTTCTGCTTTCTAATAATGTAACAATGTGGAAACCACACCATGCTTATTGCATCTTTATCACATTCCTAATAAATACGTCAACATTGCTCTTCCCCAGGACATGTAGAAGAGAATGAATAGTTCCTGTCTTATGAAGCATCATCTATTATAAATGCCTGAGACAGGAAATTCAAATTATTTGATCATTATCTAAAAACAAAGCTCTTGGAGCAGGCGTTTGGTGCCATAACTAAGATGCCATCTGAGAGCCCCCCCCACCACCAGAGTGCCTGGGTTGGAGTCCTAGTTCTGTGCCCAATTCCAGTTTCCTGCGAATGTGCACCCACGGAGGCAGCCAGTGGGGACTCAGGTGGGTGCCACGTGGAAAACACAGATCGGGGTTCGGGCTCCTTGCTTCCATCTGGCCCATTCTCAGCTCTTGTGGGCACTTGGGGGAGTAAACCGGTAGAAAGGAGCTCTCTCCCTCTCTAACTTTCAAATAAATAATTTTTTAAAATAACAACAAACTCTGGAAGCTCTCAGGATTAAAACAAAAATTCCTGAGTGTTAGGCCTAGCAGCTAAGACATCACTTGGGTCACCCACATTCCATATCAGAGTACCTGGGTTCCATCTCAGCTCCTCTCCGAATTCCAGCTTCTTGCTACTGCATACTCTGTGATGGCTCAGCAGTGGGGTCCCTTCCACTCGTGTGGGAAATCTGGATTCATTCCTGGCTCATGGCTTCAGCTTGCCTAGCCCTAGCAACTGCAGGTGCTTGGAGGGTGAACTGCTGGATGGGAGCTCTCTCTCTCTCTTTTTTCTGACTCTCAAATAAATAAAATACATAAAAATGGTTTTTCAAATTTATTTCTATGTATTTGAGAGTCAGAGGCACAGAGAGAGAGAAAGAGAAATCTTCCATCTGCTGGTTCACTCCGCAAATGGTTACAATAGCCAGGGCTAGGCCAGGCCAAAATCAGAAGCCTGAAACTCCATCCAGGTCTTCCACATGGGTGGCAGGGCCTGAGCACTTGAGCCATCATCTGCTGCCTTCCCAGGTGCATTAGCAGGAACCTGGGTGGGACGTGGAGCAGCCAGAATTCAAACCAGTGCTACTACGGGATGCCTGCATTACAGGTGGAAGCTTAACCCACTGTGCCACAACACCAACCCCAATAAAATGTTTTTTAAAGTCTCTGATATGGAGGTTCATAATAGAATCTGTGCATGTGACTCCTCTGGGAGTAAATGAAAACTGTGTGCATGCATTTCTGCCGACCAGAGAGGGCAGGATCCACAGCTAAGGCCCAATTCTTAAAGGGACAATGGCACATATGAAAAGAAGTAATAAGCTCTGTGTCCAAGAGCAACAGAGAAGATTAAAATTCAACAAGAATCGAAATGACCTAGAAGTCATGAATATGAAGAACATCACAGATGCAGACACTGAATTAAATTCCACACACGCCCACCAGGAGGCACTGCCATCAATGACATCCTGTCCTGCCGCACTCCCTGGATCTCCTGGAAACTAATTTTTCAACCTCAACAGCTAAAGCGGTAGCCTTCACCTAGTACTCAGTAACCTGGGCTGCTTGACAGAGAGTTTGATTATTTTTCCTGTGTTGGAAAAAAGGGTGATATAATTTCCTTCATTATTCCAGTATATGCATACAAAATAAAGAGAAGTGCTGGAAGTGGGACATGACTTTTAAATATAAAGAAAACAATGCAATTCCTTGTTCAGTATGATTCACAGAATTATTTCTATCTCAGCCTAAGCCATCATTTTTTCAACCATAGCCTAGTTTTTGAAGCATGACCTTGTAACATAATTTGCACAGTAACTACACGGGTGAAACATATGCAAGTGCTCCAAAAAAGCTCATGGAAAATAAGCACTATGAAAAAACTATCTGAATTTCAAAAATGTTTTGAACCAAAATGCTAACTTGTTCTACTATTTCTGAATAGGGTCTAGTTTGAGGCACTAAGAAAGGTAAGACATCAATTTAAAATGAGTCTCTATCAGAGCAAAGTGAGATCTGCTAAAATTGAAGCAAAAACATCAAATTGATGGTAAAGCTTGGGTGAAATCACTAATGCTGTGCAAAATGTTTGTGGGGACAATGCCCCAAAGGAATCCACAATTCACAAAATGCCTCAGTTGTTTTAAGAAGCGATGACTCAATGTTGAAGATGAAGCCTACAGTAGTAGACTACCCATATCAATTTGCAAGGAAAAGGGCCAGTGCTGTGGCATAGTGGATAAAGCCACCGCCTGCAGTGCCGGCATTCCAAATGGGTGCTGGTTTGAGTCCCGGCTGCTCCTCTTCCGATCCAGCTCTCTGCTATGGCCTGGGAAAGCAATAGAAGATGGCCCAAGACCTTGGGCCCCAGCACCGATGGGGGAGCCCTGGAGGAAGCTCCAGGTTCCTGGCTTCAGATGGGCGCAGCTCCAGCCAATTTGGGGAGTGAACCTAACCTCTTCTCTCCCCACCTCTCCCCTCCCCTCCCCTCTTCTCTCTCTCTCCCTCCTTCTCTCTCTCCCTGCCTCTGCTTCTTCTGCCTCTCTGTAACTTGGCCTTTCAAATAGATAAATAAATCTTTTTTTAAAAATTTGCAAGGAAAAAAAAATTGTGTGCTAATTGAAGAAGATCAACAATTAACAACAGACACAATAGCAAACACCAGAGATTTCCCAACTGGCTCAACTTAGACAGTCTGACTGAAAAATTAAAGTTGAGCAAACTTTCCACCCAAAAGGTGCCAAAACTTTTCACCCATACTAGCTGCAGACAAGAGAAGGGCTTTCAATAGAAATTTTAAGCACGTGGGATAAGCCTTTGAAGCACTTCTTCAAACGACTGTAATGGAGATGAAATACGAGTTTACCGGTATGATCAGGAAAACAAAGTGCAATCAAAGCAATGGGCCACAAAGACATGGAAGTAGGCAGTCTAGAGCAAATGTCACAGCAATCGTTTTTGGGGATGTTCAGGGCACTTCGCTTGTTGATTTTCTGGAGGCCCAAAGTATGGGAACATCTGCTCACCATGAGATGTGACAAAGTTTGCAAAAACTTTAGCAGAAAAATGCCAGGGAAAGCTTTAGGAGAGAGTCCTTCTCCACCAGGGCAGTGTTCTTACTTGTTTCTCGCATCCAACGACAATTTTGTGAGTTTCAATGGGAAATCATTACCCATCACCTTAGTCTTGATTTGATTTCTTCTGACTTTGTTTTCTAATTAAAAAAAAAAAAATCTCTAAAGGGCACTGATTTTTCTTCAGTTGATAATGTGAAAGACCTTATTGCCATGGTTAGATTCTCAAGACCCTCGGTTCTTTAGGGACGCAGTAAACGGCTGATATCACCATTTACAACTGTGTCTTCAAGTTGATAAAGCTTATGTTGAGAAATGAAGTTTCTATATCTTTTAATTCCAGTTTTCTACCGGCTGGTGAAGCCCCCTTGTATGCGGTGACTAATTTGCAGCAGGCTCAACACCTCAAGTTTGGAGGCCATGAGGACATGTGTGTCACGTTTCCCACAAGCTCTTCCTAGAGGCAGAGGTAATGACTCAGCTGGTCTCTGGACAAGAGTTCCATGGTGCCAAAGGTCGCAAACGCAAATGAGGTCACCAAATTCTTTTATCTCCTTTATAGGCACTCCCCCATGAGCGAAGAGTCATCAAGATGGTTTTTATTATTCTAGCCCGGCCCTTCGGAACGCCCAGCAGCTCAGAACCCTCATATTGACAGATTTTGTTCCCTGTTGCAGAGGTGGGGCGGTGTTGAAATGTGGCTCTATAAACACGTCTGACACACCCTGCACCCGACCTCGCTAGCTATTGCCGCCATTAGTCTCCTGAAGCTGCGGTCTCTAAACTTCACCTTGTTCTTTTTTCCTTCAAGGAAGCCTAACTCGGGAACGCAGAGGGAACGGTGCTGCAGGGAATCAGCGGGGATGGGGGGGTCCCCTCAGCCCAGGTATGCGCCCCAAGTTCCGCCCTCAGCTGTGGGGCCCCTCTGGGCATTCCCTGTGTCGCCTATAGAGGGCAGCACGGCCCAAGAGACCATTCACGCCCGGCCACGCCTGCCCACAGCCTCGCCCCAGAGCCCAGTTTCCATCCACTCTCGCTGTAAGACTGTCCGCTTTCCCATTTCTACAGCACTGCTGGTATCTCTCTCTAAAAAAAAAAAAAAAGCCGACCACGCGCAGCTCCGACGCAGCAACCACCAGCCAAAGAACCACCTCAGTCGAGCGCCACAAACCCCGCCAAGCGGCGGGAGGCGGATCGCGCACGCGCGGCTCCGCCCACTCGCGAAGGCCTGCCCCAGGGTCCCGGCTGCGCGCGGTCCCTGCTGGGAGAAGGCACCCGTGCCAGGCCCAGCCTGCAGGTTCTCTGCAGCCTGTGGCGGGCCGTACCCGACCCTGGCCCTGGCCCCGGGCCCTGCCCCGGCCCAGACGAGAGCCAGAGCCTACCTACCGTCAGCTGCCGGAACAGCTCCCGCCCTTCTCGGAGCAGGCCCGCCCGCGCAAGCCGAAAGGCTTAGTGGCAGATCCCCCCCCCCATCACGGGGAGGCAGGGCCTTAGGGCACAGGGGGCGGTGCCCAGGTCCGACGTGGGCGTGGCTTCCGGGCCCTCGATGCTGGTGGAAGCAGCGCCCCGTGGCTGGGCCGATCTCAGTGACAGCCGTCCATTCCTGGAGGACCCGTTTTCCCAGGAAAACCAGCAGTGGTGCGGCGGCCCCTCGTGGAGTCACGCTGGCAGAGTAGTAGGAGTATCGGACAAGGTGCAGGAGAGGGCTCTGGATTTTGCATTTGTCAAACTCAAGCTACCTCTTTTCCCTCCCTGACCTGTCCAGCCTCTTTTTAAAATTTAAAGCTAGGGGACTGACCGTCCGGAACCTCCCAGGTCCTCACCAGCGATAGCGTTGTTTAGGAGTGGAACCTCCCGGCCTGAGTCTCTTGGTCTGACCTACACTGTCCTCGTCCGCGCGTTTTTTTTTTTTTCCTTCAGCCACCCCTATACTTGGGATCCTTCACCCCTGTGGAACCTGAAACTCCTCCACTCACCGTGTACCTTCTGTGACTCGTGCTTTTGCCCCAACTGGGTCCCCTCGCCTGCAAATTTCTCCCCATCCGCTTCCCAAAACCAAGAATTCTCTTCATTTGTCTGGGCCATTGGTGCTTCCATAGAGCCTTTCCCACAATCCCCCATAAGAATGAACTGTCCCTTCCTCTTTGCACTCACATTATTTTATTCATTACAGGCTACCTTCTGCTTTCCGTTTTAATTAGAATTATATGATTCTTTTAAAATAGTAAATACCTTAAGAGTGCAGGCACCCAGTCATATCTATAACTTTAATTTTGGGGTCTTGCATATGGGGGAGGGGCATTCAATAAATATTAAGTGAATGCTAGGGTTCAAGTGGCATTGATAGTTCAAAGGCAAAAATCTCACTCATGGCTCGCTAAACCATGGCCCCTACTCTGGAACCGGGCAAATTTAAGAGAAGAAAAGGCAGCCCACCTTGTTGGGAAGTGAGGCCTCTCGCTGGGGGTATGGTAAACACATACAAACATGCACACCTTCTCCCTAGGACAGAGTAGGCCTCGGGAGCTGACTCCCCAGCGATTTGGGAATTAGAGCTAAACTAACCAGGGCCGAAGTAAGAGTCCTGGCGATGACTAGGACCTTACAACCGCTCTGCTAGATGCAGGGCATGACTCCCCGGAGTCAGGGAGCAAATCTCCAAGGAGCCCCTTTCCTCACCCCCGAGGTCTTCAGGCAGTGGGCAGAGGCAGTGGAGGGGCTGGGGGATGCAGGAACACAGGTTCCTGAAGCCATCTTGGCAGCAGCAGAGCCATGAAGACGGCCAAGCCCAAAATGAAGCTGTTACTCCCGGAGTCAATGTCAGCCAGGGAGAAGCTGGAGAGTCCAGCAGGCGGCACCACAGCCTGGGTCTCCCCCAGCACTCCACCTGGCGCCTACAGAAGAAATCGAGGGGTCGGGAGAGGGCTGGCACAGCACACTACAGGCAGAGCAGGTTGTGATGGGAAATGAGAACCCAAAGGCTTGTTACTGCTCCTGCAAGAAACTCAGAAGCCGGGTCAGGAGTCCGGGATGTCGGGCTGAGAAAATGAGAGCAGCTGCCACAAGTTCATATCCGCTTATCTAGAGAGGCCCAGAGAGAGGGTGCCAGCCTAAACAACTGGGGTGGGGGTCCTGATCCAAGAGCAGCCCTGCTGATGCATCCACTCATGGTGAATGGTGGGGAGGAGCAGAGCCAGCCTTGGGGAGAGCCCAAGCCCCACGCAGAGGAGCCCCACTAAGTGGCCCACTCGCCAAGATCCAGACTACGTGAAGAAGAGACACTGGGCAGTGCAGCCGTCTCCATAACAGTCTGACTCTACCTGGCCGGCTCCCTCGTCATCTGAATCCCAACTCAGATGGTACCTTTCCAAGGTACCTGACCACTGTATCTGAAGTCGCCTCCTCTCTCCACCACACTTTGTTTTCTTCATAGTACTTGTCCCTCTCTGAAATGACCCCTTTGCCTCCTTCAATTGTCTGCCTCTCCTTCTATGAAGTCCTCAAGACAGCAGGACTTTTTCTGGCTTTTTCCTTTACCCCAGCCCAGGCACTTGCCTAAGGCACAGGAGTTCAGTGGTGTTCTGTTGTCTGCCCCACATTCCCACCCTCTCCCCTCCTCTAAGCACCTCCCTAAGTGATGTCACCGATATGAGTGCTGACCCAGTGCTGGTCACAGCTGGAAACTATCGGTGCAAGCTCCCTTCCTTCTCCCACACCTGCAGCTCTCCTGGTTGGCACACCTGGAAAAGGCTCACTGTGCCCATGTTGGGGAAGCTGGAAGCCGTGTCCCTGGGATTCCCCAGCAGCCCAGCCAACACACCACCCAGCCCCTCCAAGCTCAGCGCTCAACTGCATGTGTGTAGAGGGGGAGGAGGCAAATGCAGCATCTGGCCACACAGGGCATAGCAGCCTAGGAAGCTGGTGGAAGCTGCCAAGGCCTTGGAGCTGCCTGCAGCCAGAGCTCTGGGTGTCAACAAGGGTCAATCCCAATCACTTGAGGAAGAAGAAGGAGCCTCCTTGGACTAGCCTGAAGCCTGCAGCACCCCTCTGCCTCCAGTGGTGTGTATGATGCAAAGCATGGACACCCCCATTGTCTTTGCAGATAATATCTCAGGCCCAAACCACTGAACTCTAAGGAGAAAGGCCCATCCTTTCCCAGGGTCTACAGGCCTACTGTGGTCTGCCCCTACCTCTTTCTCCAGCTTCATCTTGCGCCGCACGCCACCTCTCTTCCCTGGGTCTGGACACACTGCCCTTGTTTTGGGCCCTTGGACTTGGCAATGCTTCAGGACAACACACGGTGTTGCATATGCTGTTCTCTCTGCCTAGAACACACTTCTCTCCAGCCTCCTGCCTGCTTAGCTCCCTCTCACCTCTTACACCTCAGCCATCTCTCCCCCAAGACCTGGTCCCAACTTCCCTGATGTAGCCAAGTTCCCCATTAGGAGCCCTCATCACACAATGTATCTCCCCTTGGCTACACTTACTGCTGGGGCAAATTCACATTCCCTTGAGTGGCTACTTAATAGCGCGTGTTTTCTGGCATAGACTGGGCTCTGCAAAGGCGGCTCTGTGCCTGTTCATCAGGAAGGCCCCTGCCACGTGCTTAGCATATGATCAACTCTTAACAGACCCTTATTCAATTGATGAATGAGCAAACTTCACACATAAGCCTCACGAACCATCTTTCTTTTCTGTGCTAGGGGACCACCACAAATGCTCACAAGGACTGGTGATACGAACCTGAAAAGTGGGCAAGCCAAGTCAGTTGGGAGCCATGGGGCTTCTAGAAACTGGTTATGTCTGTCTCCAACACTGCCCAAATGAAACACCTGTGGTGAGGGGCTGCCATGCCCCTCAGATGAACACTTTCTCTCTGCTGTGTGTTTCGGGCAAATACGGGATTGACCTCAGACATGAAATCTTGAGTCCAAAGAAATAGATACCTTGATGGGAGCAGGCCAACGAGGAGCTGGGAGAAAACTTACCCGGGTGAGACAGCCAAAACCAGGGTGCCGTCAAGGGCATAGACGCCTCCCAGGGAAGAGCTCTGAGACTCAGAAGGGCAGCCATGACCCACATGCAGGCCACAGGGACCAGCACCTGAGGGGCAAGACTGAGACAGAGGAGAAGAGCCCCTCCCCCAGAACCTTTGGAGCCAACCTTGGAGGGTGGACAGAAGCCAAAAAGTGGAGGCCCTGAACGAGCCCTCCCTACCAGTCCTTCTCACCTCGACTTCCTCTGCCCAGTCCCCCACCTTCCTAGAGGAGCCAGAGAGCAGGGGTGTGAGTTGAAGGGGTTGAAGCTGGCCTCCAGGGGCATGGGGGTACCTGGAGGGGCCCAGGTGCTGAGAACACACCACCGCGAGCAGGATCAGCCCAGGAGAGAGAAGGAGCTTCATGGGCGAGAGGCAGTGGGCACCCTGCGGGGTGGAAATGGGGATGGGAGGGAGCAGAATGCCAGAAAAGGGGGCCTCAGAGAAAGTCCCATCCCCTAGAAGAGGCAGGAAGCACCCTGGGCATGGGTCACGGAAAAGTCTTGGATCCCAGATCTAAAGCGTGTTGCCCTGTTCAGGTCACTGCTGGATCTGACATGGCCAGCAGCTCTGCCGATCACCACCCCAGTGAACTGACACCCCTCAGGACTCAGGTACAGCAAGGTCAGTTCCCAGTGAGCAGAGCAGAACTGAGCCAACTCCCTGTGGGCACAGCGCCCTGCCACAACCGGGCTGGAGGCCAGCACCAGGGGTCCACAGTGGGGGAACATGCAGCCAGGACCCCCCCCACACCCAGCAATCCCAGTGCACCCTACAGCAGCCCGGATACCACCACTGCCCCTGACACTTGGTGGAGTGGAGGGGGAGAAGAGTTTCTGCTCAGCCAAGTTCACCTCAGCTGAGACTTCCTAACTAAACCCCGGGAGGGGTCCTTCCTGTGACCCCTTCCCCCAGAGCATCTCAATCCCTGCCTGATGAAAATAGCCTCCTCAGGGCCGTCCACCTGCAGTGTCGGCATCCCATATGGGCGCTGGTTTGAGTCCTGGCTGCTCCACTTCCAATCCAGCTCTCTGCTATGGCCTGGGAAAGCAGTAGAAGATGGCCCAAGTCCTTGGGCCCCTGCACCCATGTGGGAGGCCTAGAAGAAGCTCCTGGCTCCTGGCTTCAGATCGGTGCAGCTCCAGCCATTGCAACCAATTGGGGAGTGAACCAGCAGATGGAAGACCTTGCTCTCTCTCTCTCTCTCTCTGCCTCCCCTTCTCTCTGTGTGTAACTCTGACTTCCAAATAAAGAAATCTTTTTTTAAAATCTAAATATTTGAAAAAAAAAGAAGAAAAGAAAATAGCCTCCCCTGGCCCAGCACCACCTTTAACTCTCCTGCTTCCACTCCCCAGAGCTCCAGACCATGGCCACCAGGGCCCCTACATAGGTGCAGCGCAAAGCAGGCTGGGAGGAGTTAGGAGCATGGAGAGCAAAGGAAATGGGATGGAGACCTATTGCTCTTTCATGCTAGCTGGTGCCTGGCCACCACTGTCCAACGTCTATCCTGCACCCACTTATACCTGTATGCTCAGATGAGCACCAAAGCCCACCCTACCCCTTGTCCTTGCTCTATGCACTCAGTTTCCACGTGTCTGGATGAGCAGAGGTAGCTTCTGTCTGGTCAGCAGCAGAGCAGGGATAAGGAACTCTAAGGAAACATGTGGCAGCTAACAGGACCCCAGGCCTCTCCTCCACCCCAGGATCCCGGCCCCTCACCTACTGTCCAGCCAAGCTTGCAGAATGGTCAACACCCCACATGAAAAGAAGCTGGAGGCCAGGAGCTGAGAAGGGGAGTAGGGAGTCCTCCAGGAAGGAGACTGTGAAGCAGGAGCAGGTGGGAGGCACAGGGCAGAGAAGCCAGGACCAAGATATGCTGCGGATAGAGGAACGGGGAGGAGCAGTCTTCAGAAAAGGGCAGAGGCACCTGATTCCAGAGGGGATCACGTGCCACACCTGCTTTAGCCAGCAGCACCACCTCCTGCACCTCTACCTCCTACCTGCAGAGCCAGAAGCCAGCTGAGACGACAGGGGCAAGGCCCACTCCAGGAGACCCAAGAGTGCAAGGAGGGATTCTGGGGAGGAGGCAATGTCAGGGGAGCCAGGGCACCCCGGGAGTCTGTGGATTGGACTTGGGTGAGATGGGGGTGGGGGGGGTGATCGGCTCAGGCTGCCCTGTCTGTGGTCTTGTCTTGGCTATCTGGGGCCAGAGTTAGGAAGAGTAAGAAGAGTTTAGCATTTGGGTGAATTTAGCTCCCTGAGGGTGTAGAGAGGATAGGGGTGTCAACAAAGCGGAGCAGCATAAGGATGAGGCATTTGGGGCAGGACAGGGCCCTCTCACCTTTGCCCAGCTCTTGTGCAAATCCCATCAGCCATTAACCCGGGAGCTGCACTCTGGACCCCTCCCCCAAGAATCTTTATCCAGATTCTCTGCTCTTAGACCAGTCTCTGGGAAGGGGGTGCAGTGTGGAGGGGGACAGGGGAGGAGAGGTGCCCTGGGGAGGTTTTGTACTCTGTTTCCTCCCACCACCAGAACCATCATTGTTACATCCACAATTCTTAACCCTTTTGGGACCAGGCCCCACGGGCTGGCTCAAAATGAAACTCAACGGTGGGGGGAAGTGGGCTGGCATTGTGGCATAGTAGGTAAAGCCGTTGCCTGCCGTGCCAGCATCCCATATGGGCGCTGGTTCGAGTCCCAGCTGCTCCACTTCCGAACCAGCTCTCTGCTATGGCCTGGGAAAACAGA